GGGGTTATTATTGTTATATATTTTTATTGTTTTAAATAAAAATATTGTTTTATTGTTTTAAAATTTGCCTCCAGGTAAATATTTTTTTGTAACTTTGACCTTCTTGGAGCAGAGGCCACTCTTCCGAAGTACTGAAAAATTACTCTCAGTGGAGAAATAATCAAACTGCACAGTGGTAGCTCATTGTTCAAATGTTTCGTTCATGCAGCTGATCCTTTCAAGGGAAGCTGATGTGTATGCCACTGCCCTAGTACTGTCATCTGCCTTGTTCCCAGTAAAATTCTTCTATGTCTCTGCACTTTATAAGTGAATGTCTAATCTGATATTTACATATCTGCTAGTGATAAATATATTACTCAATTCCACCTTTTTGTTTCACTCTTGTATTAAAAGTTTCAGGAAAGATAGCAGAACACTGGTTAAGGGAAAAAATAGTAATTCAGTTGTAACTCCTTCAAAGCTTTTCATATTCAAAGCAACAGTGTTTTAATGACTTAATACTGCAATAATTTATTTATGCAATTTCTGCAGGAATTATCCTAAAGAAAATCTTTTGTTATTTTGGTAATAACTGTTGATCTCTTCACAGCTACTGTGATCCATTTTCTATTAGGAAAAAATACTGATCTTTTTGCAGTTATGTAATACGGATGTTGTAAGAAAGACTGCTAAGAAAATGCCATAATGTGAGTACATCCTGAAAGACAGACAATGGCATTTTGAAGAAGAAAATAGTATAAATTCATTCTACAACTGCTGTGTGTGTTGTCAGTGTCTCTGGTACTCTACTCTTGATATAATAAGCCACTGACAGGAGGAAATGCAAAAAAGAAGAGACTATCTATTTTAAGAATACATTTAGATGAACTTTTAACTTTGGAATTACGAAATTAGCATGTATTTAGATCTTGTAAGGAATTGTTTCAGTTTTCACAAATCAGTGTTGATCTAGATATAAGCCGGCTACCAGCATTAAGTTTGGCACTGTTGTCTGTCGTGGTGCCCCTGGCTGAAATGATTTTTTTTTTTTTTTAAATGCAAATCTGAAGCAGTTATATGGCCAAGCTTGATAGAATCATAGAATCATTAAGATTGGAAAAGGCATCTAAGATCATCTAGTTCAAACTGCTGGTCTCTTTTCTGGCTTCTGTCTAGTAATTTCAAACCATCATCTGCATGACTGTACAGACAATATTTTCAAGTCATTTGAAAGAAAGGGAATCAAATCTACTATCTTCTGCTTACTTGACCTAAAATATCCAAAGTCAGGAGATAGAAAACAACAGGCACAGTCTCCTGGAAAGTTTGTTAGTGTGTTAATCAGGTTAGCTAACACTATGACACTCAGGAACAGCAAATAAGGAAGTACTGAGGGTTTTGGAATGCATAATCTGAGTGATAACAAATATCAACTTGAATGTAGATACAGTGAATGCAGTATTTCTATGTGCATTTACAGTGAATGAATGGCGTGTATTTTTTTTTAACTGACAACAAAAGAAAAAAGGCTCATTTTTCTTTTCAACCTTTTCTTTGACAGATTCTGTGATCTATCCCTTAATTTTCTAAGACCTTCTGAAGGAAGAATGTTCATAGTCACAAATCGCAGTCATGAAATATTTAAAATTCCTTTTTTTTTTTTTTTTTTTTTTTCCTGGAGTGAATAGCTATTTTTCTACTAGGTACCACATTTACTACTTCAGTGGAAGTGTAAACAAGCACTTTTATGGACACCTTATTTTTCCCTCCTCTACTCCCCCCATTAATTATCAGTGTTGTTTCCTCTCCACTTCCTCTCCTGCCAAAGGGAGCAGTTTATGGTTCCAGCACAAATCTTACTATCTGTCATGTTTCTGCTCTTCAACTTCATGCATGTCAGCTAGAATCTTTGCATGACAATTAAAATACAAGATTTTGTCCACAGGTCAGCTTCCTTTGGAGTTAGTTTAGTCCTTGCAACCCTTGCATGCTAGCAGAAGCAAAATCAAAATTATCTCTTCCTTGGAATTGCATTTCATACATCTTCATCTTTGTCATAGCATTGAAATCATTATGTAGCAGTTGGCTCTGATACGCTTGCACAGACACAAATTGAGTCCGACAGGACTGATGTCTCATGGACTTTGCTGTCATTTGAAATGCTGGCATGAGAACGGTAGCAATGAAAGGAGGGAGCTGGTGCCTTCAGCACTTTCTCTGTGAAGATTTCTTAGATTTGTATTTTTTGATAGCAGAAGCTGATTCAAGAAAGAATTTAACAAAAGAGATTCATAACAGCACTAGTTTTCTAACAGCTGCTCCTATCTTTTCTTCTTCCTTGAGCAGATTCTTTGAACATTGTGCTGTACTTTAAAATGGGCTCTTTATACCACCCACAAATCTGTAAGATCTATCTAGTGGAATGGCAATTAGTATAATTTTTCTCCTCCCTTTTAGTTTTTATCTTCAATGCTTAGAAACTACTCATGTGTGGTAATGAAAAAGATAGTATCTGCTCTCTTTATTGTGCTTAAGTTAGACTTCACACTTGCCAAAGATTATGTGTTGTAGGCCCTTGGAAAAGTACAATTAAATTTCAGTGTATTTCAGTGACAATCATAGAATCATAAAATGGTTTGGGGTGGAAGAACCTTTAAGATTATCTAGTTCCAACCTCCCTGCTGTAGGCAGGGACATCTCCCAGTAGACGAGGCTGCTCAAAGCCCCATCTAGTCTGCCCTTAAATACTTCCAGTGAGGGGATATCCACAAACTCTCAGGGGAATCTGTTCTCACCACTCTGAAAGGAAAGAATTTCTTCCTGACATCTAGTATATATCCACCCTCTTCCAATTGAAAACCATTTCCCTTTATCCTATTGCTACATGCCCTTCTAAAAAATCCCTTCCCAGTTTTCCTGTAGGCCCCCTTAGGTACTGGAAGGCCACTATAAGGTTGCCCTGGGCCTTTCTCCTTCAGACTGAAGCTCCCAAACTTTCTCAGTCTGTCCTCATAGGGGAGGTGCTCCAGCCCTCTGGTCAACTTTGTGGCCCTCCTCTGGACCTGTTTCAACAGTCTTAGGTCCTTCTTGTGTTGGGGGCCTCTGACTCCAGCTGGGTTCTCATGAGAGCAGAGGAGAGGGGTAGAATCATCTCCCTTTACCTGCTGGTCAAGTTTCTCTTGATATAACCCAGAATATAGTTGGCCTTCTGGGCTGCAAGTGCACATTGCCAGCTCATGTTAGATGTTTGTCAACGTTTTACGGGTTGGTTTGGTCCAGTCTTGTGACTAGCAGGGTGGAGATTTCGCAAAATCCACGCTTCCGGAAAAGGGAAACAGCAGGCCCAAAAAATAATTAAAAACAGCGGCAACGATCTGAGGAAAAACAAACTAATTTACTAAATTTGGTATCAGAATGTCAGATAACACACTATAATGCAATGTAATTAGAATTGAAGCTAATAAATCAAATATAATTAGAGAGAGAATGTCTAAAAGGTGGATAGGCCTCAGCATAATGCTGACGTGAGATATGCAGTCCAATTGAGCAGCAGGGAGATAAAGAAAAGCAGACGAAGAAGAGTGCATCAGGTGACCTTGCCAGGAGTTACATCTCCTCTCTGACCACAAAGCCCTCTGGGGAATGTAGTTCTTCTTCTCTTCTGGACCCGGAACTTGAGCATTAACAGTTAAACCCTCAGTGCACTGCATGGTGTTATGATGTGGAATACTAATAACCAATAATCATAAAACCATGACAATCTTTCATCAGCTGACATGCTGAAATTCTTCTCAGGATTGCTCTCAAGCCATGCTCCACCTGGCCTGTGGCTGTGCTTAATCTGGCCCTACCCAGGTGCAGGAACTTGCACTTGGCTTTGCTGAACTTCACAAGGTTGACATGGGCCCTCTTCTCAAGCCTGTCCAAGTCACTCTGGATGGCATAAAAATGCTAGTGATATCTCCAGATAGCTTGACAATGTAATCAGGCTATTTGGAGATATCACTAGTATTTTTATGTTCTTTGCTGAGATGCAATGAGCTTATACTGAGCAGAACACTGCTTTTTAAAGGCAGGTACATGAGTTGTAGCTCTTTTAGCATACCATATCCAATTGTGGATCACAGTAAATGAGGTTAAACAAATTAGAATCTGATCTGTTTATTTAATGCTGGATCATTTATTTATTTATTTATTCATTCATTCATTTTTAATGTTTAGCATAATTCACATACGTAGAGGAAATTACAACAGGAATTTTGACCCCCAGGAATTGTTTAATATGCTAACACTTGTTGTCTGTAAGAATATCTCATGAAGTAGATTTAACTGTGTTATTTCTACCAGACTTCAAAGCATTAGCTCTCAGTATGCTGTTTGCAAATAGACTTTTATTCTGTTTACTGAATCCATTTTGAATCCCTTCTTGCAAAATGAGTATTCCAGTGCTGTATTATATACTGCATTAAAAATGATGATTCATATGATTCAAAAGGTGTTGTGGAGTAGACAATTCAGGGAGTGACAGATCCTTGAATCCTTGAAAAATACACTGCAAAATACATTGGACATATGAACATATACTATATATTCTGTCTTTTTCATATACACCAATAGCCTGAACCGAGTTCCTTTTCTTTCATTCTTACCATTTTATGTCTTAAAACATTTGCTTTGTTCCAATTTGCAAATGTTGAGAAAAATTGGACAATTTCTGCCCCATACCTGCTAACCATTTTTCTCTCTTTCTTTTATCTGTTCCACAGGCTCTGAAAATATTTCATCTGAAATTTCAGACTGGACAGACTCGCAGTGGCTTCTGAGCCAGTGAGAACGAGGCTGCCAAAGCATGCTGGTGCCAAGCTGTTGGATGATGCACGTAGTCAGGCCAGTGGTGGTGCTCCTGTGCTTGCTACTCTGTGCTGATGCTGAAAGTAAGCTTATTGTTCATTTGTGCTTAGATCTTGCCCAGGATAAACAAACAGGTTTTTTTTTTCTTTTTTTTTTATCTGGTGTTTACTATGGGTCTCTGAATGAGCCTCTTTTTGATTAATTCTTAAAACACTGTGAGATACTCTCTAGATCACAGACAGTATTTGAAAAGGATTATTTATGGTACTTCCTTACTATTCTTCTAAAAGCCCCTTTTCTTAAGCAATTAATGGTCCCACTCAGATGTGAAGACTGTTGCTTTAATGTTATGTAGTAGAAACAAAGACCAGCTTTTCTTGACAAACGTACATTAAATACGTTTCATGCATCTGTCATTGCTGAAGTATTTATTTCTTTGATTTGGTTAAAAAGAAAAAAAATCACCTTCC